AACCGGCCAGGGCTGAAGTGAGTTTCTTGTAGGCAGCATATATGTATGAGACTTGTTTTCTTCTCCATTCGGTCTATTTCTTTTGATTGGAGCACTTAATACATTTACATTTAAAGTAATTATCGATAGGTATGCAATTATTGCCATGTTATTATCCATATTTAAATTTTTTTTTTCTTCTTAAAGGAGTCCCTTTAACATATCTTGTAATAGTGGTTTTGTAGTAATGAACTCCTTTAGCTCTTTTGTGTTTGGGATGAGTTATTTTAATTTGTGTTTTTCTTAGATTGAAATAGTTTACATTCCTGGGATATGGAAGCTTGAGCCTGGAGGTACTTAGCATTTGATTGGATAGTCATCTATAAACTAGGTTGTCTGTCCAAGCTAGCTTCGAGGACTCTGAATTCACAGAATTGGGCGTGAAATCTTGTGCAAACAGGTTTTCTCATGAAAACTTTGGCACTTCTAATCATTACCAGTAACAGCTAGTGGTGAACTAGGAACTATACATTCCTAACTTAATTTCTATATATCTATATCTATAGATGCTGTTTTGTAGTGTTTGAAAGAGATCGAGTTTGATGAACATGGAAGGTAAAATAAAAAATAAAAAATAAAAAGAAAGGAAATTCACTTATGTTTCTTTTCTAAATGTGTTTGGAAATGAGAAGGGCTCAAAGAGAGCGATTCTTATTTCCTTCGGTTTCCTTGAAGCCAGACTCACAGCTTCGATCACACAGGCCTCGCGTGTATCGAGAAGCTCCGTGCACTCCGCGCTGGACACTTGGGGCACTTTCTAGTTCTGCTGTCAGTTCTGCTTCGTTCAAATTACACGTCCTTTTTGGTGTAGGGCAGGACCTGAAGAGTCTGCTGAAACAGCACCCCTGCCTGCCTTCTCTAATTAGAGGATTTAGAGTTGAATACAAAAGTGTCCTGGGAAAAATCAATTTCCTTGACTATGAAGTTTAAATGGGACCCAGCATCTTAGAAATGAATGTCTTACAATAAACACTCTCCAGAAGTACCTGAACTGTACAATTTAAGGGGAAGGAAGGGGAAATAGAAGTCTATTATACAGAACATATCACCCTGGCTGTGCTTTTTAATGAGGTTAGACAATATTATTATAAGCAAAACCGAGTAGCCCCCCCAAATAATTATAAGAAATGTAATCCTGAAGTTTATTAGCATTTGACCTATGAGCTACTTTTTTTTTTTTTTTCCTCACCCGAGGACATTTTTCCATTTTTTGTTCAGGTAGAGCGGGAGGGAGAGAGAGGAACAGAGAGAGAGAGAAACATCGACGTGAAAGGGACACATCGAGTGGCTGCCACCCGCACAACCGACCAGGGCCGGGGACAAACTGCAACCGAGGTACGCGCCCTTAGCGGGAACCGAACCCGGGTCTCTCAGGACCGCAGGCCTACGCTCTAACCGCTGAACCAAACCGGCCAGGGCTGAGCTACTTTTATACTTAGAATTCAGTAGTGCCACACTTGACAAGATACCATTTTCGAGGGGCTCTCTCAGGTTTATATATCGATATATAAATTTGGGAAAGTAGTAACTATACTAAAATAGATCAACTGTGTATTGATTTATATTAGGTATCAGTTTCCCATGGCTGCAATATCAAATTACTACAAAAGTGATGATTGAAAACAACACAAAAGTATTGTCTTGAGATCTGTGGGTCAGAAGTCTGACGAGGGTCTCAGTGGGCTAGCATCAGGGTGTTGGCAGGGCCGTGTTCTTTCTGAAAGCTCTGGTGGAGAATGTGTTTCCTTGCCTTCTCTGACTCCTGGAGACTGCCCGGTTTCTTGGCTCATGCCCCTTTCCTCCCTCTTCAAAGCCAACCGTGGCCGTCAAGTCTTTATCACCTTGCGTCCCTCTGACACCGACTCTCCTGCTTCCCCCTGTCGCGGGTAAGCGCCCGAGGGCCCACCACGACAGTACCAGACCATTTCTCCAATCTCAAGGTCAGCTGCTTAGCAGACTTAATGCTATCTGCAACCTTAATTCTCCCTAGTCATGTAACATACATATTCATAGGTTCTGGGAATTAAGTGCATGGACATCTTTACGGGGCGTTGTTCTGCCTACCACCTCACCTGCCAGATTTCAGCATGATTGTGTTGGGTGATGGCCTGACTGTGCTGAAGGCGGGCGAGTGAGAAGCAGAGGATGAGTTAGGAAGCCAGTGCAGGAAGCCCCATGAAGTAAAGAGGTGGCTTAGACAAAGGTGTCATAACAGTGGGGGTGGGGAGAAGTAGCAGGATCCTGGATGTATTTTGAAGGTAATTTGCTGGCCTGTTAGGTGTAGGATGTGAGAAAACGGGAAGAGTCACGTGGCTTGTCCAAAATTTTTGGCCTAAGCGCTAAGAAAAAACAAACTGCCATTAATTAGGATGGAAAAAAGCTGCTGAAAAGAGGAGGTTTGGAGCTTCCGTGTTCAGTTTATGGAAAGCTGAGAATGCCTTCTTTAAGAAAAAAAAGAAAGAGCACTGTCTTTTTAATAACAACTTTTTAAACATCTAGTATACCTGAGTTGTCAAGAAGTTGGATTTACTGGGTAAGGATTAAGAGGGTGATAAAGAAAAGAGAACTTTTTTTTTTGGTCTTCACAACGACTTCTGTTATTCCAGTGACTTATAACCTGCTGGACCAGAGAGGTTGTTGTAACATCCTAATTCTTCCCTAAACCGCTTCACACGACCCTCTTTTCCAGATCATCCTCAACTCTCTCTCTGTCTTACTTGCACACAATTTAAGAAACAGGTGTTTTCCAAATTGACCACACTAATGCATGGTGTTAACAGTGGGAGTTGTGACAAGGGAGGTATATGGACCTCTCTCACCTGTCTCCTCGGTTCTGGAAGTCTAAGGCTGTGCTAACAAATACGGTTGATTGATTGAAAAAACAGAGAGAGAAAAGAAATGGGAGTGTTCTCCAGTATCGAGTCCCTAGGAAACGTGTTCTTTCTGTTGAAATTAGCTCTGAGTGGCAGTTCCATGTTATTACTGGGCTTTTATTTCTTATTTCTTGTATTTGAAGATTCCTTTCAAAGACTTCCTGACATTGGATTATTTAGTTATTCCTGTGGTGTTTGCAGCCAAAGAGGCCTTGTGGAACTTGAAAATTCAATAGTTAACATGTATTAGGGGGCGTATTTTATTCCAGGTACTAGGTTAAGCACTAACTACCATGGCTTATCCTATTTAATTCTGAGAGCAAACCAATGAATTCTTTAGGGATTATTGTGGCTACATTTTACAGGTGAGTCACTGGTGGTAAGAAAGGGTATTTACAGATAGGAAATCATGGTTCTGGAGTTCTAGCCCAGGTAACTGTACGAAACCGCTTCTCACCACTGTACCATATTCCATATTTTCTCCCCAGATTGATCCATGCCATCTATTTGTGCTTGAAATTATTGTGTGTGATGGGTGTTAACTTGCCCAGAACGGTCCCATAGCTGGCTTTCTGCTCCTCTGTGTGTACTCCGTAAGAAAGCTAAACCTAGCAGAACCCAGCTCTCCAAGAGGGACAGGAACTTCTGGCCAAAAGGGCCCTCTGTGATCCTGCTGCTAGTTAGTACCAAGGCTTCTGTCACCTGGTAATGGTCAAGAATTGAGCCCTGCCACCGCCTTCAGTGTACCCACATCATGGAGAAATTTCATTCTTCACTTCGGTTTCCATTGAACACATGACTGCAATAGTCCTGCTGCTCTTTTTTTAAAAATATGTTTTCATTGATTTTTTAGAGAGAGAGGAAGGGAGAGAGATAGAAACATCGATGTGAGAGAGAAACATCTATCGGCTGCCTCCTGCATACACCCTACTGGGGATCAAGCCCAAAACCCAGGCACATGCCCAGACTAGGAATCAAACCGGGACCTCTCAGTCCATGGGCCAATGCTCAGTCCACTGAGCCACACTGGCCAGGTGCCTGCTGCTCTTTTGAAAGACCCTGTCTCCTGAGAACTGTGCAGCCTCTCAGCCCATCAGTGATCTTCTTCGTCTGGCAGCAGCAGAAAGCTGACTGCTCACCCTGAGATAACTTGATAACTGCTCAGTCAACTGTGGTTTAGGAGCAGGCTTCCTTGTGTCTGACTTCAGTGTGAGCTCCATGAGGACGTGGATTGTGTCTGCTTTGTTCACTGTGATGTTCCTAGTGCCAAGCAAAGCATTGGGTACCAAGTTCTTGTTGAATGATCAGATTATGCACTACCATATGTACATACCTTATAGGGAAACTTGGGTGTCTTTGCTCCAGTAATGCTCTGAGGCTGCTGTTGTCTGTGCCACTAAACACTGCAGAGCAACAGTCAAGCTACTGAATAATCCTACGCTCCCCTACTGACTTAGAAATGGCCATTCGGCACCCACTCCATTGGAAAGATTTGGGTTTAATGCTGTCTTGACCTTTGGCAGGTACTTAGGGAGTTTGGAGTTTGTTGATTAACGACAATCCCACTTAAGAAATAGTAGAGAACAGATACTTCATATATAGGAGATTTTAAGGACTAATTTAGAGTGAAAAGTATTTTCTTCTTAAAAGTTAGTGAAGCCATCAAATTTCCATCTGCCGTCATTTTATAGTTCTCTGAGGTCTTGAGTCCACTCAGTGGACTGGAACTTATCTATGTTTTTGTGCAGATTTTTATAATATGCTCTGAGATTTCATCCTTATCCAGGTCTCTTCGTGCTGCATACAGGAAAAGTGTTTATACAGTATTTCAGGGATATATTACCTTTGATTTCCTCCCCTGCATCCACACATACTGTGGGATTAGATTATTACTGGCCAGGTGAGAAAATGATACAAAACAATAAAAAATAATAATAATCTCTTTGCAATGTGATACCTCCTTTCATTTGTTGATGAAGCTATTACTCTCAACTGTTAGCAAAAACAGAATTCTTCATTCTGTTCAAACACAGGCAAATGTATGTATCCAGTGCTAAACAGTCCCTGGTTTCTTTTTTATTTTTCCAGGCAAGAAAACTGATCAGTGATTTTGCCATTATCTTGTCCATTCTCATCTTTTGTGTAATAGATGCCCTGGTAGGTGTGGATACTCCAAAACTAATTGTGCCAAGTGAGTTCAAGGTAGGTGAACTTCTGTTTTTGGTCATTCCTGGAACTCTTTGTTTTTCTTTCCTTTCCTCTATTCTAGTTTGTCGTATCTCTCCTTGTTAGTTTTGTCCAATTATCCATTTCTCCACAAATTTCAAAAATACTCTCTTGCTAAGTGCATGTATACATTTTGTCTGTTTCTTTATTAACATCGAGCACCTGAATGGGATCAAATGCAAGGTTCACATTATATTGATTTTTATTGAAAAAATACCTTATAATAACATTATAAACTCTGCTTTATACTTTTAGAGTATTTTAAAATATCCAAAGTATTTTCATGCAGCTTATCACTTTGATCCATAAAGTAATTCTAGGAGGCAATGTAACTACCGTCATCCTGATTTTATGAAGTTGATGTTTAAGCTCATAAAAATTAAGTAAAATGCCCACAGTTACATTACTAATTCAATGCTCTTTTCCTGCTACCAAACTACCTGCCGTATATACACATAAAATGCAATATGCATTTTAATTATTACAAAGAAGACATAGGAATTATTTCATTTTATAAACATGTTGGTATGTGTAGGCCCAATGGCTAAAATTTATATTTCAGTCGTTCTTAAATATCCATACCTAAGTTTTCATTATACAGTTTTTACCTATTTTCTAGAACACTCCTAACCCCTCTCTCCATCATGGAGACCATATAATTGCTAAGAAAAACTGAATTAACTGATGTTTTAGCTTAATAACTACTCACTGAGCAAGGGATATCTGTGTTATAGCAAACGGAATATTTTTGCATTATCTCTGCCATCACATATTCATTAGCAAAGATAAGTTCTCATGCATTTAATCATTAGTTCATTTACACCATTATTTCCTGGATGTGTGCTTTGAGCCAGGCCCTATTCTGGATATTTGTAATACATTGATGATCAAGACAAAGTTTCTTTCTTTACATGGTCACAGTATGGTAAAGGTAGTCAAGTGTGGATGGATCCAGTGATGGAGTTATAAGCAAGCTGAGGTGAAAAAACAGAAATATCTTCAGAGGAGAAGTGAGACTTTTGTAATAGTAAACATGGAGGAAATGATTCATAGATAGGATTTTATTTTTGTTTATTTGCATTGTTTAAAGTTATAAAAAAAAGGCTAGGAAATTTTTTGTAGTAGTAAAGTTGTATGATCTGCTGACAGGATAGATTGGGAACTAGAAGAATAACTGTATTTTTTATTTGCTGTGATATTTCTGAGGATTTTACTAGTTATTCTGGGTTAGTTATCATATATAAAATAAGAAACACCAGAGTGTTCAAATAAGTTTGAGTATAACATATAAAAATATTTGTGGCTTTTTATATATTATATTATGAAATGATTACAGTTTGGCAGTATTAGAAACAACTTCAGTATAATTGCTAAGGTCCATGAACAAAGTTCATGGTAGTTTTGTAATTTCTTGCCTGTGACTACTGAATATTACATCTGGGTTTTTCTTATGGCCAGCCCTTAAATTTGAATTACTTTCTTCCATGTTGAGTCCTTATCTTAGATCATTTTTTCCACCCGACCTATATTCTTAGTCTCCTTCATTTAAAATATTGCCTTAAAAATAAACTCCGTTAGGAAACTTTTGGTGAATAATCTTTGTCTGATCTGTCAGTAAATCTCTTTCCATTTTTCATTGTGTTGGCTCTCCAAAAATAAAAGTGTATCTCCCCACTGATTTTTCACCAAGTAGTATGTATTAATATTGATTGTTTTCTCTCTTCCTCAAGCCAACAAGTCCAAACCGCGGTTGGTTTGTCCCACCATTTGGAGGAAACCCCTGGTGGGTGTACCTGGCAGCTGCTATCCCCGCGTTGTTGGTCACCATTCTGATTTTCATGGACCAGCAAATCACAGCTGTGATTGTAAACAGGAAGGAACATAAACTGAAGGTAAATGTTCATAATGGTTGTTATACTTTCTTTGAAGTACTTGAAAATAAATATTGATTCAAAATTTAGATGGTTTTATTGGGAGTTATAGCCAATGTTCTTTAAGACTTGGCAGAGTCATAGGATCACCTTGTGTTGACACATCTATATAACACTCGAGAAGGATTGCATTTAAATCGGCAAAAGTTATTTCACATTGTATTTCCTTAGCCACCGAAGACAGCAATATAAACTCTTTACCACTTAGCCACAGTCATCCTACATCTGATTTTAATGTGGTAATTGTCTTTAATGAAGACAATGACAAATACTTTTTCTGAGACTGTTGAGATTCATAGACAAACAACAGTATGGTGGTTGCCAGAAGGAAAGGGGGAGGAGGGGGAGGTAATGAAGGGTAAAGGGAGTCAAATATACCGTGACAGGGAGATTTGACTTTGGGTGATAAACACATGATGTAATATATCATAGAATTATACACTTGGAACCTATATAATTTTATTAACCAATGTTAATAAAAAAATTAATTTAAAATTTAAAAAAGAAACCATTGAGATAAAAATGTGGGTTTTCTTCTTTAATTGGTTGATCAGGTGAGTTATAGTAAAAGCTTTTCTGTTGTTGAAGCTACCTTGCAACCTGGTAGAATCTAGTTTCTTTTTTTATACATAGTTTGGTTTGGTATGCATATATATATATATTTGGGGAGTGGGGAATTTTTGCATCTCTGTTTAAGAGTGACATTAGCCTGCAGTTTTCCTTTTTTATAGTGTCCCTGTTCAATTTTGATATCAGGCATATACTATCCTTAATAAATCAGCTGGGGAATCTTTCTCCTTCTACCCCTATCCTATCCCATTCTCTCAAATAGAATGTAATCTTCTCTTTATTTGGTGCAACATGCCAGTTATCTTTTTTTTTGGAATGATCAACCATGCTTGTAAAACTAGCCGGGAGGTTTCTGCATGGAACTTGTAAAACTGATCATCAGAATGTTTAAATGATTATAAAACACTCAAGATTTATCTTTATTTCATTTTGTTTTCATTAATTTTATTTTAGTAACTTACACTTTTTTAGCTTTTTCTGTTTCCTCCATATTTTCAAATTTATTGACATGTTTATAATAGCATCTTTTGTTTTTCTAAATGTTATTTTTTTAAATTCCTAATATTATTGATTTATGTTTTTTGTTCTCTCTCTCTCTCTCTCTCTCTCTCTCTCTCTTTTCCTGTTATTTCAGATGTTTGTTTTTGGAATATTTTCCTTTAGAGCAGTGGTTCTCAACCATCCTAATGCTGCAACCCTTTAATACAGATCCTCATGTTGTGGTGACCCCCAACCATAAAATTATTTTTGTTGCTACTTCATAACTGTAATTTTGCTACTGTTATGAATTGCCATTGGAAATATGTGTTTTCCGATGGTCTTAGGAGACCCCTGTGAAAGGGTCATTCACTCCCCAAAGGGGTCGTAACCCACAGGTAGAGAACCACTGCTTTAGACTGAATTACTTCTCACACAGACCTTAACAGCCTTTTGAAATTCCCTCTTGTGAGAATCTTTGGGTGGTGAACCCTTCCATTTGTGTTGGTCTGAAAGTGTTTTTGTCTCACCCTCATTATTGATAGGTGGTTTCTCTGGGTATAATTTAGGTTGAAAACTACTTTTTCCGTACTTAGAAACTATTTTTCATTATTTCTGATTTCTTTGAAAGTGAACTGTCAGTGTGATTCTCATTCCTTTGTAAGTAATCATTCTTTTATTTTGGATGCTTTTATCATCTTTTTTGGCTTTATTCTGGAGTTTCATTACACATTTTTATATTTAGAAATTGTGTGTATTCTTTCCCAAATCTTCATGTTCAATTTTGTTAGTATCTAACTTTTTTATTATTCTTTTATACATTATTTTATTTATTATTTTGTATAAATGTTATATTTGAAAGTTTGATTCTGAACTTTGTTTTTTTGGTCAGACTTTTACTCCTAGTGGTGTTCTTCTTTATGTATTTAGTGCCTTTTTTTTTTTTAAGCCTTTCAGAGAAGTTTTTATTTGCTTCTGGGAAGTATAGGAAAGTTCAACCAATTCAGTAACACTGTATTTTTATTTATTCCTATAAAAAATCTTTCATTCTGGAAAGCTTTTTTATGGAAAGTTTTAAACATATACAGAAGTAGACAAAATGGCATAACTTCAAATATGTATCACCCACCTCTCACAATTATCAACTCATGTCCAATCTTATGTCATTTAAATTCTCATCATCGTATCCCCTTCCTATGACACTTTGAAGCAAATGTACACAGCATTTCATATTATCTGTGCCTTTTAGAGTGTATGTATTTTTAAAGATATCTTTTAAAAACCATGACTACAACATCATCAGTCTAAAAGAAGTTAACAACATTTTTTAATATCATCAAATATTCAATCAAAATTCAAATTTATGAGTGTATCATAAATATAATAAACTTTAAAATATATGTATTTTTAAACCAGGATCCAAATAAAGTTTAAACATTTTTATCTTAAATCTTTTATAGACTTATTTTAGTTCATAGATTGTTTTTCTTTATCAATTATGATGTTCTTTTTTTTTATAATTTGTTTGTTGAGGACAACCAGGTTATTTTTCTGCTTACTTCTAGCTGTATAATATGCCCCTTGAACACTTAGCAGTGTGGACGTAAGAATGTCCAAACCTATAGAGAATTTTTATGCATTTATTTGACTTTATGTGAGTCAAACACAGGGGATTGCATTACAGGATAGTTAACAAGATAATGAACTCTTTTGAAGGCTTCCAAGGGATCTGAAAAAGAGACATTTCAAAGGTCTGTTAACCTAGATGTCTACTTAGGCGAAGATAAACCTTTCACTAAAGAAGTTATATGCCTGAGGCATGACTACCCACCATGATCTGCCCAGTTAGGAATTTATGATCAAATCCCCCTCTGAGGTTACTTTTGGTTATATTTATTACAGAGCCCATTTTTTTTTTTTTTTTGTCCACATGCGACTTAAAACAACAATTTATTACATCTGTTGGATTTCTTTGTATTGGCAGGACTCTGATGGATACTTCTTGTTTGAGGTGTCTCTGCAGTTGCAGTTAAATAATGTCCAGGGCAGATGCCATCTGAAGGCTGGACTGGGCTAATTGTCCAAATTGGCTTCTTCACTTAACACACAACCCACACGTCTAATACCCTGATATTCCTTGGCACAAGTTCCTGTCTGTCTCTCCCTCTCTCATCACACGGCATCTTATTCTCTGGGGCCTTTCTGTGTGGCTTACACTTCTCACAGCATGGCATTCTTGGGTTATTTGTACTTGTTACGTGGCAGCTGACTTCCAAGAATTAAGTAGTGGGAGATACTAGACCATTTCATAGTTATACCTGCAGCTGACATAGCTCTACTTCTGTACTTTGCTATAGTTGATTGATCAAAATAATCATAGAGCCGGCCACCGTTCAAGGGGGTGAAGGATTCTACTATTTGATAAAGGAATGTCAACTTTACATTGTAAAAAAGATATGTAGGACAGATATTTTTCCATCAATTTTTGGAAAGTACAATCTGCACATTTGTGCTGAAGAACTAGCATAGATCTTGGCAATTGCCTCCATTTAGCATGTTCTTTTGTCTTCTGTATTTTAAATCGGTCATTGCATCTAGAAGCTTGATGCCATATAATTTTAATATCTTATATCTATATCTACAAGTTTTTTGAGGGTGGGGTTGCAAGACTTATTCATAGAAAGCTAGGAACTTGTACTACATTTTTGGCTGAAGGTTTTCCAGACCACAGAGTAAATATGAATTTCAGCCCCAACCCCGGTTGTCTGTTTATGGTTGGGAATATCTTTGGAGATGACTTTTTTTTCCCCTAATGGCATTAGATCTAGTGGAAAGGCCAAGAGAGGCGTGTGTTCCCATTGACTTTCTCTGTAGGGTGTTTGTGGGTTTTTTTTTTTTTTTTCCTAGTTAACCAACTTAGTGTGCTGTGTCTTCGTTTTATTTCAGGAGGTGTCTCCTATCTATACCTTTATCCACTATCCCTAGGATTGATCTGTCCATAGAGTTCAGAAGGTTGTTCTAATCTAGGCCTTAACCCCTCAAGGACTCGCATGCTCTCTCAGGGCAGGCTTAGGCTCCAGGGCTTACTGACTCTGTAGATTTACTCCTTCTTGTTGCCATTGCTTTTTGTGTCCAGTTGATCTCTTACCTTCTGTCTGATAAGCCATGATTTGTATACGATATTTTCTGTATTTGGTCAAGCATCTTTAGATGTTCTGTACTAGGAGGCGTTTCAGTGTTGATTTAGTTTGAAAGACTGAAAAGGGATATTGGCTAATTTATTTTATTCTGAAAAACATTTGGAAACATATTTTTAGTTTTGATATTTAGTTTAGTTTTGTTGGCCACATTTTCTGTGTATCTTTGGAGGTGAACACCTATTTTTATTTTGCTTAAGTTTTCTTATTAATAAAATTTAGAATTTTGAATTTAGCAAATTTAGGATTGATAAAACATAGAATTTTTAAAACTCCTGTTACCTATAGAAAACATTGGAAAATCAAGGCATATTAGGATTTACCTCTTAAAATAGGAGTTGAGTATTATATAAAAAATAAGTTTTCATTACTTTCGGAATTGCTTATTTGAAGTCATTCCTTTGAAGGATAACAGTTACAGAATAAGTGCCAGTTTTTTGACACAAATCTGATGGTACTAGTGGGGATTTCATCATGAATTAAAGGCTTTTCACTCTGGATATTGTTTTGTTCACATTTTGTTAGGCGAGGAATGCGAAAATTGGAGATTTTGTCTAAAATTATAAAGAGCCCTGACTGCTGTGAAATTGAGTCCAAAGAGAAACCTGAAACAGTGAGAGAGATGGACACATTGTGATATTACAAGCAGCATGGTTTTGGGTGGCATTTGCTTTGGCTCTGTGTCAAGTGGCGCTGGCTGGCTGGCTGCTCTATTTGGGATGGGATCCACCTTTCCACTCTGCCGCACAGCTCTGTATTGATGTAGGAACGCCAGGGCACTTGGCTTTTTTTTTGGCCATCACTTCGGTTAGTTTTTTCCCACGTTATCCCTGCAGAGTGCTCAAAAGCAAACCAGGTTCCGCAAGGTCATACCTTATCCAAGGTAATTGCAGAGGCAGGAAGAGTATCTGAACATCAGACCACAGAGCCGAGGATACTTCTCTCAAGGAAAGTGATTTTAAGTGTTATAGATAGGATGTGGGAGGGAGAAATAGTTTAGGATAGGTGTATAGATATTAGGTGGTTGTAGCAATAAATTTTGTCTGATATTCTCCATGGTAAAACCCTTAATTTGAGTGTGTTTTCTTGGATAACTCCAAAATCTGCCTTGCTTTCTTTTTTTTTTTTTTATCCTCGAGGACTTTTTTTTTTTTTTTTGCATTTATCTTCAGATAGAATGGGAGGGAGGGACAGAGGAAGAAAGAGAGAGAAACATCGATGTGAGACACATTGAGTGGTTGCCACCCACACAACCCCAACCTGGGCTGGGGATGAACCACAACCAAGATACATGCCCTTAGCATGAACCGAACCCGGGACTCTCTGGTCCACGGGCCGATGCTCTAACCGCTGAGCCAAACTGGCCAGGGCCCATTTTTTCTTTTTATTCCTGCTATCAAACCTTAGATCTTTTTTATTTTTATTTTTTAGTCCTCACCTGAGGATATTTTTTCCATTGATCTTTAGAGAACGTGGAAGGGAAGGAGAGAGAGAAACATCAATGTGAGAGAGACACATTGATTGCTTGCCTTTGCATGCACCCTGACCAGAACCGGGGATCAAACCTGCAACCCAGGTACATGCCCTTGACTGAGAATCAAACCCAAGACCCTTCAGTGCACAGGCCAACACTCTAACTACTGAACACACTGGCTGAGGCAAACCTTAGATCCTTTTTTTTCATGTCTAGACTATTCTACTTCTTTAGCCATGAGTTAATAACTAATCTCTCTTGCTTCATTCCAAAAGCCAGTGATTTTTTTTAAAAGTGTTGTTCTTATATGTCACTCCTAAATTTCTAAACCTTTACACGTTGGCCTCTAAATCTTTGCCCTTTGAAGAATATCAAATTGCTTTAGGCTGGGATTTAAGTCTCTTTGTGATATGATCTCAACCAAAATTTAAAATGATTCTCTTCACATACCATACAATGCTGTGGTCAAATGAATTGTTGGTTTCTCTTCAAGTCTGGTGGTTTCTTCTGCTAGTTATTCTACTCTCCACTCCTCGGTGATGACTTCTCAAAATCCTCACCATCCATTAAGATCCTCCAAATATGAAATTTTGTTAGGATAGCCTTTATTCCCAATGTAATTTCTATTGGTTTTGTTTTTGCTCTTAGTAAGTTTGTATGACTCTGTGGCACTGGTCATACTGTGTCTCGCAAGGTAGTAATTTTGTGTGATTACCTTATATTCTTTTCTGGGCCAACACATTTTTAAATGAAGTTTTAGTCCTGTTTTCAGCTCTCGTGGGCTCATCACATGATTTCCATATGGAAGACTCAGTAAATATGCATTGAAGAATTTTGTTATCTTGGGCCATATGGTTCTCAGAGTTGTTGCACTCTGAGATGGATGATGACTAAAACACACCATCCCATCTCCAGTTCTTACAGTGAGTGCTGAGATTATTCAAATTCCTTTTAGGTGTCATCACTGCAGGGAGTTTTTGTGAGTTCTTTCTAGACATAGTTAAACACTTAATCTTCAATACTTTTAGGTATCTTTTTCAAACTTCGTCGAGTGTGTATTTGGATTGAATTGTAATTTGTGTACAGATCTGAGTCCCCTCATCCTATTATGAGCCCCTTCATGGAAAGAACTATGTCATGGTCCTCCGTGTCCTCATAAACCCTTATTGTCTGGATCCTGGTGGTGGGGGGCTCCTAGCATGAATGTTTTACTCTGTGTCTGGGCATGTGTGTATACTACTATTCCCTCTTTGTAATGATACTCTATACCCAGATGGAAACTTCAGACTGTTAGGCTGGTCTTTTTCTCTCATAGATTTTTTTTTATATCGGTGGATATATTCCTAAATGCCTTTTGTTTTGTATAACAATGCATGTATAGTATCAAAAGGAAGTAAAGTTTCACTTCCTATCCTTTTACTTAAAATAATCTCCAGTTTTAGAAAGTAGAACATCCTTTGGATTTATATTCATAAAGACAAAGACTTTTTAAACTTTAAAGGACATACTTAACCTTTCAAGCATTTATTGAGTCCTTGCTATGCATGGAACATATATGTTGGATGTTGAAGATAAAATTATTCTAACTTATTGTCTTAGTCTAGTTGAGGTAAAGGAAGACTTTTTGAAAGGAATGATGTCAAGAGGCACAGAGTAATTATCTATTATTTTGTCTCAGAACTTTTATTTATTCTCGTGCTTTTGCAGTTACCTTTGTATTTTACTTTGTAAAATCCTCATACTACCCTGTTTGGTATTATGTTCTACCTTTTTGCTAGTTTCCAGGATATTTAACTCAAACTTCTTTTAGTTGAAAGACTTTAAGAAAGCATAGCTTGGGGTACCATGTATGGACTTTTCCGCAACAGCTATTTGTTTGACCCATTGATCTGGCTAGTGTGTACTTTTTAATTTTTTTTTAAAGAGAGAGAGGAAGGGAGAAGGAGAGAGAGATAGAAACATTGATGAGAGAGAACATCGACTGGCTGCCTCCTGCATGCCCGCCACTGGGGATTTGGTCCACAACCTGGGCATGTGCCCTGCCGGGAATTAAACCGGTGACCTCTTGGTGCATGGGTTGATGCTCAACCACTGAGCCACACTGCTTCAGTCTGTTCTTAACACAACAACCATAGTGCTTAAAACATAAGCAAATCATGTCACTCTTCCATTTAAAACCCTCCAGTGACTTCCCATGTATACTCAGTGTATGAGTCCAAGATCTTATGGTTCCCCTTAGTGCGTTTTACTGTTTAAGATACAGTGCCATTTACTTATTTATGTTGTTTATTGTTGTCTCCCTCAGTAGAATGGAAACTCCATGAGTGCAGGAATCTTTGGCTGTTTTCTCCAATATGTCATCAACACCTAGGACTATGCCTATTAATAAATTTGTAGTCAGTATTTGTTGAAAGGATGCATGATTGAACCCCCAGATATATCATGACAATTATCTCATTAGTCACTATTTAATGAGTTTATTTCCGCCATCCCCACCTTTGCCCTCCTTTCTCTACCAAACTCCACTCTCAATTTAAACCATCATGTTTTCAAACCAGTTACGCTGAAATGAACTGGTTTTATGAATATATATTAGCCTCTTTGTCTCCCAGGGAGATTTTTATTCTTAGTCAAACTTGGACTAAGTAAATTTATGCTTTTTGTTCTTGTGTCAGCTACCCTTGCCTGTGATGAGTTCTGTGAGAACATGATTAGACCCATGTGTGTGAGCCAGGGGTGAAATCTTGGCATTTCAGTGAGAAGACAGCAGTGTTCTGACTGTAACAGGATCTGAACCAAAACAGTCACTGGCTTCCTAGTGTAAAATCACATTCTCATTTTTTTAGAGCCAGCATCTCCATTCCCTCGGATTGGTCATATTCTGGCGCTTGGTGCTGCTGCTTTCCTGCTGCGAAAATGAACTGCTCTGTTTTCTCAGGCTCCATAGGGGCAACAAGCATTTGATTTCTTCACAAATAGAGCAGAGAAATAGAACCATAGAATAACACTGTGGACACATTTAACAATATTTGTTTAGTGAGTAAAAGAGTTAGACCTTCTGTTACGTTGTCTGCTCTCCCAGTCAATAAATGTTATTGCGACCATTGGGCAATGTTTGACATCAGCCTATTAGGATTAAGGAGATGTTAATTACCTTAATGATAACGTTTAGTAGATTTATAAAGTTATTTTCATATGCTATGAAAGGTGAGAAATGGTCTTCTACATGGCTCCTCAAGGTTGCTTTCAGATCTTTAGTCTGCGTATGCCGAATGCTGTCTAGGTGAACAGCATACTGCCAAACGGTCAAGCAGAGAAGACACAGTGCCTTCTTTTAAGGTGCTTTTTGTGCTTATGTTAACAACAACCACCACCACTATTGCTACTATCACCATTTATTGAGCTCCTACTATGTAACAACCACCACCATTTAAATTCCTGTAAGATGCTTTGCCTCTATTACTTCATTGAATGGTCCCAATAGCTCTTCTAGGTAGATGTGTATCTCTGTACAGTCTTCCCTCGTTTATTGCGGTTAATCTATTCCAGACTCTAGCGGTTGCACCTGGTGTTGAAGGATTCCTGGGGTGCTTGAATACATAGGCCTACAGTCCATATGTACAGTAGTGTTAATTTTAATTGTAATACAGGGGTGTATAATTGACTTAACCAAGCGCATGCTGTATCATTTTCACTGTCTTGATCAACTTTTTAATGAATATATTTGAAAAAACCGTGATAGAGTGAAGTGGTGAAAGTCAAAGCACGAAGTGGTGAGGGACAACTGCAGTTGATTATAAAACTGGATGCAGAGAAGATAAGTCACAATAAACAAATAATAAGTAAACTGTAACATTAAGCTAGAAGAGGTGTCCTGTGGCCACTTTGTGTTTAATTGCTAGGATGAATTATATGAGGACAATTAAGTCCCCTCACTCAAGGAGCTTCCCTTCTAGTAGATACCTTTATCAGGCAAAGTGAGTTGATTTCTTTTACTGATCTTAATTCCCATCTGAAACTATGACTTAATAACAGTATGAGTATTCTCCTCACCTGGTTTTGTTACCTCGATAGAAAGGAGCTGGATATCACCTGGATCTCTTTTGGGTGGCCATCCTCATGGTGGTGTGCTCCTTCATGGCTCTTCCATGGTACGTGGCTGCTACTGTCATCTCCATTGCTCACATCGACAGTTTAAAGATGGAGACCGAGACTTCTGCACCTGGAGAACAACCAAAGTTTCTCGGAGTGAGGTACGTTGCATGAGAATGAAATGGCTCTACAAAACGCATTATGCACACATCCACATGTCAGTCGTAAGGGAATGGGAAGATATGGACAGGGAAGGGCTGGTGATGATTAATTTATTCCTATACTTTGCTTTTCTAGAAAGGACCAAATTTTTCATCAGAAAGAGAGTCTTCAGTATTTTTTGAGTTTACGTCTTATGATAAATAAATTTTCTTTGATTTGTGAAAGGCTAAATGATACAATGTAAAAATGCAGACAGGTCACTCATTTTCTTCAACATGCAGGTCCTTTTGGTGCTTTGGTACTTACTCTATAACATTATATATGGAGGTCAGATCCTTTCATCTTCTGGTCCTTTGAGACTCCCTAAAACTCTTGAGTCTACTTATGACTTTTAAGATTCTATGAAGGGAAAATAATTCTTAATTTCCAGTTCATTTTCTGTCCCCATAAGCATTGAGAAACTTTGAGCTGCAGAGTAGCCATGAAGGACTATATGGGACCTTTACAGTGTTGTGTACTTTTTACAGCAAACCCTGCCCCTGAGTGCTGGGGTGATACAGCTCACAGGGCAGAGCCAGCGTTTCCCACGCCACAACAGTGGGTGATTCTTTCTTGGGGACCGGGGGAGGGGGTGTTGTATGGGAATCATATTTGTTAAAAAGTACTTTTGTTGTTGTAGATTTGGAAATTGGATTGATGGGATTTAATTGCACTTATGAAATTTCCCTGAGCTGTTTATTAATTAGAATGTGGGACAATGTAATATCTGTGTCCTATGAAAGAAGGTGTAATTACACAACAGTGCAAGTTGTTTAAAAAATAAGGACTTCAAAGAGGCCAGTAATTGGTGGACCAAGAGCAAGTGATTTTTTTCTTTCTTGATTCTAAAAGGAGCAAAGGATTTAGCAGAATCAATTTCCTCTTGATGAATTCAACCACATATTGCAATAGTTTTAAGGGAATTTTATATTTATGTTGAGCTTATATGCTACCCTTGAGGTAATAATTACACATGGTATCAACGCCTTTGCTATTTTAGCCAAACATTGATTCAGTTGATGTACTGTCTTTATTGAAGGTGGAAAGACAAGAGGTAGATTGGTAATCTTTTGATTTGGTTTCAGGGAACAAAGAGTCACTGGAACCCTTGTGTTTATTCTGACTGGTCTGTCAGTCTTTATGGCTCCCATCTTGAAGGTAAATATGTGAAATACTTCTTCCTCCTTCTCGAATACTGACAGATAACTGGATATGTGAAGGGTAGAATTTCTTATGAAATATGTGCAGGACTCTCATTAGTTCTATAACACTGAAGCACTGGTTAGATAGAATGAGGACTTTAAAAACCTTTTATCTTGATTTTCTTCTCATTCCTTTACTCCGATGATTGATGATGATGATGATGATGATGATGATGATTGCAATTATTTGGTTGAACCATATTGAACTACCAATATTCAAACTTTTTGACCTATGAAAATGGCAATATCATATAGTTCAATCTAACTGATTTCCCTCCATCCCATGTATTTTATTCCCCTAGTTTCCTTACATTTTTTTTCCCCTATCACATCACTTTCCATTTAGTTATCTCTAACTCCTGGCCCCCTCTACCCTCAAATTAGACTCCTGGGTCACGCCAGTGACTCAGGATAAACATTTTGCAATTTTTCTCTCATTAACTATTACTTACTGTTTCTATTTTCTTTGAATAAGAAGGTCTCATATTCACAAAGGGTGAATAGAGTAAAATTACTGATTTAGAATTTGAAAACTTAGACTTTAAAGTTGTAGAGGTAGTAGAAGTGAGCCCCTCGGCCGCAGGCTCAGGGAACAGGCTACAGAAGCAGAAGAAGGGCCGTGGAGCTTCGGAGGGAACGGGAAGGTGCACCTGCTCTGGGAGGGAGAGCTGCCTGGAGTCGAACCTTTGAAGAAGAAAAATGATCTGATGGGTAATTTTGAACGTTAGGAGCCAATATATAGGTTCGAATGGTGGGGTGAATGTCTGCCTAAATAGATAAATGTAAACTATATGTGAAAGCCTACTTAGAAACAGAAGTAGGACCAAAACAGAAGGTTTAGTACGTACTTGTCATGGAACTTCCAATTTTCTTTTGTGACACAAACATTTTATTTTATTTTCTATTATATAAACAATAGTAGCTGGTTATTGATCATTTGTGTCTTATGCTTTGAACCACAATGCGAATCACCAAAGTCACCTATAAACCTAACAGCTATTAATGACTGTTAACAATATGCTTCCAAATTTTTTCTGAAATTTTTTATTTTTAAACAATTCTAATTTGTAGGGTTTTTAAAATGCTTATTTAATTACACAAGTAATGGAGTAAACACTCCTGTGAAGAATTCAGACAACACAGGACAGGTGGTGAAGGCAAAAACCTTCCATTTCTTTCAGGTTAGAACATTTGTATGTCAATTGCCAGTCTAGTGAATTAGAAAACAGTGGAATTACAATGTCTTGACATATAGATAAGACTGACTTTGCCTTCAGCATACTTAGATTAGTGCATACATTGTGTGTAAAATACCTGGTAAACAGTTAAAAGATTTAAATATTCGTCTTTCGTACTCGGTTTCCACGGTATCAGTTAACTGGTTTAATTTCTTTTTGCTACAGTCAGGAAGGAATATGGATCTCATGTAACACATAGAGTAGTAAAATTAAAAATAACCTTAAAGAAGTCATTTCTGATAATAGAGAGAGGGCCTTAAAAGAGTATAGATCTTATGTTCTACAGCAGAGATTTTCAGCCATTTTCTCTCATGGCACACATAAGCTAATTACTAAAATTCTGTGGCACACTCAAAATATATTTTTTTTGCCGATCTGACAAAAAAAATCAAAAAGGTATAATTTTGATTCATTCACACCGGCCAACTATTGTGTTGGCTGTTGTCATTTTTTTATTTGACTAAGGGAAAAGAGGTCAGTGCCCCTGACTAAATAGTAAGGTTCTGCATGTTGTTGTTGTTTTAAATATGTTTTTATTGACTTATTAGAGAGAGAGGAAGGGAGAGATAGAAATAATGATGTGAGAGAGAGACATGGATCAGCTGCCTCCTGCACGCCCTCTGCTGGGGATACAGTCCCCAACCCAGGCATGTGCCCTGACCAGGAATCTAACCTGGACTTCTCAGTCCATGGGACAACACTCAATCCACTGAGCCACACCAGGCAGGTCGTACTGCATGTCTTAAAAATTCTTGCAGCACAGCCCTGGCCAGGTAGCCCAGTGGGTTGAGTGTTGTCCCCTGCACCAAAAAGGTTTCACAGAGGTTGAAAATCCTGATTCTACGGGGACAGAGGGAAATCTGTTATTGCTTTTGCCGGTGTATAGCAAGTTGTCGGGTAGGGTTGAATTTATCATGTTTCACAGCATCAAGTCCACTGCCAAAATGCTTTATATTCCTCTGTTGTCCCAGAGACACCAGCACATCAGCTAATGGAAAAATCTGGTGACAGCGTTTTACTGCCTAGACAGCAGGACCTCCTCTAGAGATCAGTTTTTAGAGAGGTCACTACAGGCAGTTATGACCCCATGTGTGGGAAACTGTACTGGGAATGAATCTGCTCCTGGGCTTACTTGACACACTGCAACGTTTCTTTTATGGGGTCTCTTGCACTTGGCCACTATTAGACAAGGACTGTTATACAAAGATCTTTCCATCAGTTCCTGTTTACTCATCACCCCCTCCTCCCCACACACATTTCATTTCTTTTCTTTTCATATTATTTCTTTTCAGTAGTACAGTATACAACCCTAATTCAAAAAGTCAGATGTGTTTAGAAATTCTCTTGTTGTCACAGCAAATCGGCCTTCATCATGGAGAATCTGTCAGCTCAGGAATCATGTATGATTCCAAAGGGACACAGAGAATAGATACTGTATAAATTGCTATTTTTAGGATGAGATACAAAACTCACATTTCAACACCACCTCTTCCAAACTGTTTTCTCTCCCTGCACCCAAATATGGCTGCAGAGGAACTAAAGCTGAAAACCCTTTTGTTCTTTCTTTCACAATGATTGTTTTTGCCTCGGATATGCAAAGCACCTTAGTATCCACAGGAACAAATTAGAATACAGAGAAAGGAAAAAGAGATGTAAGGGATCAGAGGGATCAATGAGCATGAGCTTGCTTTCCCTGTGACCTCCCTTAGGTAATCCACGCTTTGGCTCGGCCTCATTCAGCTGCTAGAGTCCGTAATTGTGACTATTTCCACCTCGCACTTTGGGTCAATGCAGAGTCATTGCAGGAATCAGCGAAAAAGGCAGTCAAGCCAATGTTTTTGTTAGGTAAGATTTTGCCCAAAATGTGGAACATGAAATAGTTTTGTTAATGTAGTTTCCAACATATAAAAAACAATAATAAAATGGTATAGCAATAACTACCGAGATTCTTTCCTTAAATAATAGAGATGATTCCTTACTTCAAGAGTCATGTCTGGTAAAGCCAGCTAATTTTAGACCATGTGCCTTTTTATCATTCAAATTTGGTAAGTTAGATGCATTTACCACAGAACTCTTGTAGCTCATTTGAAAACTCAGTTCAGGAAGAAGCAGGTGTTGAGGGTAGGGTTAAACTAAAACTTAAGTTACAAGTGAATCCAAGTTACTATTAAACGTTAAGATTAACAATTAATCTCAGAATTCACACAGAAAGGCATGACGGGTTACCTTGGGGGAGGGAACCTTTTCCCCCCATCTTGTGACTATGTGTGTTTTAAAGAAACAGGTGACAACATTAGAGAATGGTTTTACTCAAGAGTTCACCTTAAAAGGCAGATCAAATGAATAGAAAATGTGTAACTTTTAAACATAAAATTGCTGAACACCTCAATCCCTCCCGAGTTTAGTGGCCTCAGGTGATCCTAGTAATTCTCTCCCATGCATTACGCTGGCTTACTTTGAACATGAAGTTTATGACCTCTATTTTGATCTCTTTGCCAAAATCTGTTTTTTTTACATGGAGGAATATAAGGAATCATAGTGCCGTAGCTTTAAGTTGACCTCAGCCAGCCACGTCACACATGCCAGATCTCGCCACTGATTCAATACAGAACTGCTGGGAAACAGGCATAAGTGGCTTCCGGGGCTGGTGAACGGTTTCTCTCTGTGGTTCTGTAGTGGGAATATTGCCTGTTCAGCTAGTGCGCTGTATGGGAGACTTGGGGAGACTGAAGAGCAGTGGAAAGATGAAAAGAGTTCCTTGAGCTTACATTTTCTTTTTTTTTTTTTTTTGGCAAGCCTAGAGAAATAAAGATCATGTAAAGTTCACTGCTACCTCAGTTGTCTTTGCTTGAATTAGTTTATCTTTCACATGAGGAGTAGCCAAAATTTATCTTTCAGATTTGTTTAGTGTTCTAAAACGTGGAGGATAGCATTTAATTTATATTTGGCAAACATCGGTTGACCTCCGACAGTGTGCCACACACTCTGTTCATTAATATGGAAACAGAGATAAATGATGATGATGATGGTGGTGGTGGTGGTGATTGCAGTAGTAGCTCTTATTTATCGAGCTTGGCATTGCACCAAGGGTTCTGCACGGATTTTTTAAATGTAGTTCTCCAATAACACAAAACTATGTTCATAGTTGTATTCATTTTACTGATAAGAAAAATTATGAATAACTTGTCGGGTCACAACATTCTTAAACGGTAGAGCCAAGATTTGATCTTAGGCAGTTCTGGCTCCAAAGGCTGATTTCATAACCATCAGAGTTTGCCACCTTTTAAAATAAAACTGTCCTTGCCGTCAAAGAATTCGTTCAGTTTTGTTTCCCATGAGATGATCTTTCCCAGCCTCTTTGATCCGTTTCCCAAATCTTTTATGTAAAGAGAAATGTGGCATTTTCACAAACTCATCATACTTCACTCCATAGTTTTTCAGTGGCTAGGGACCAGTTTGCAAATCAGCAACTTTCCTATTAGCCCAGATTTCTAAGGCTTATAGGCAGTAGGGTGTTAGTTTAATAACATGTTTCTAAAGACAGCTGTTATCGTTGAAAGGCAATATTGTAGAGCTTAAGTAACACCAAGACTTCAAGTCTGACCTTTGCAGCCATCCGTTTGGACTATGCTCCTGTCCCTCACCTCGCCCCCACCGTGGAGGGACCAAAGAGAGTGTGCTTTGCAGTTGCAGGCTTTTGTCTTGGCAGTGAAGGTCCTGATGATAACTGTAGCAGGGCCACATCATTTATTATTATCAGCCCGGCCCGGAGCTAGTTGTGTGCCATGTAATCTTTAGCATACCTACCTACTACATGGATGAGAAGACCGAGGATATTTCACAACAGGTAGAGCCAGAATTGGAACCCAGGTCTGTCTGGTTTCTGTGCCCTTGCTCTTAAATGGGACCTCATTCAGGGTTTTACACACACACACACACACACACACACACACACACACACACAACTATTCTGCTGGGAGGCCTCATTCCTGTACTGAAATCTGTGCAAACCACAATCTATTCTTCTTATTAGACTTACCCTTTTGACATTTTTTCTTATGGAAATAATCTAACACTAGCAGAAAATCAAAGGGAGGGAGAAATGAAAAAGAATGGAATGACAGTCACCAGAATTTTCAAATTTCACTGACATAGTCTGAATCTGACCTAATCTGAATATGCTCATCTTCATTGACTTCATCTCAGTTTCATTATTCTGTCTGATAGGATCAAGCATTTCATTTTTCAGTTTTATGTTTATTAAAGGCATCATAATATTTATTTATAATTACACTTTTTGGTTTTCTGGTTATGATTGATTATATTTTTCTTAGCATAATTTTATCATTTGGCAATTCTTGATATGCCTGTAAACATAGTATACTTTTGTGTTTTAATTTCTCCTGTCTTGCTTTGTAAAAATGTCTACCTCCTATTACTGTGTATATTATATTAACTTAAAATGGGATCCCATCTTTTAAAAACACATTCTTCTTTCCTTCCTTGGGGAAATTTATATTGTGATGAATCTGATGTGACTCAGAAACCAAATCCATAAGACATACCCTCTAGTCCAGTAATTCTGTTCAATGTCATCAAGATTTCCATACTGGAAGATTTTTACTGAAACACTGCATTATTGTAAAAACAAAATGGTGAATTTTACAAGACATTTATATTACAGTGAAGTTGGCCAAAAATCAGATTTATGACCTTCCTTGTATATACTGTTTTCACTAAGTGATACTTTTTAAAAACATCTTCATATCTAAAGCTATTTTCCTCCCCATACCCCATGCCATTCTGAGTTATTGGTGACTTCTGATTTGATGTTGTGGTAGAGTCAGTAATATCTGTCATCATAAGTGCGGAAAGAATAGGCCTCGGCTCAAGCACAGTTTGCCTTCACTTTGACATAGAATCACATTAGAGAAAATATTCGCTCAGCCAAGGTGAGAGGTGGACATAAGGCCAGGATCACCTTTGTGATTATTTTCTTTCAAGCCAGGAAAACACTTTATACAGATGAAAAAGTAACTACTGCAGAGTTTCTAGCCATTTTCCTCCTAGAAAAGAGACGGGACGCCTCCCACCTTTCTTTTCTTCCCAAGAAATTGGAAATAAAATTACAAGAAGGAAATCATCTTATATTATAGAAAAATGGAAGCGCCCCCGCCTGTAGAAGATATTTAAAAATTAAGAAATAAGTCAAAGCTATAAAATGGTACCTTTGTTAGTTTCATTTTGTAAATTATTTGTATTAATATATACAGAGTGATGGTAAGGAAAAGAAACATGCACATTCTGAAAGAAATACAGGCACATGTCAGAACTCAAGCGGCTGGAACGTGATGTGTCCACCTCTTTGTGGTGACTGTGGGGTATTACACACTCATGCCTTCACCACCACACACACCACCCCTCCCACCCCTTTCTACATTCAATAGCATTTATTTTTCTTTGGGCTTTGGTCAAATTACCTAGGTTAAAATTGTTAGTCTTTTTTGGAAGCATGTGATGTTTTCTAGACGTAAGTATAATTATTCCTTATAAACCTGACAATTCCTCTAACTAACCAATAACAATTGGAGACACTCGTGACATTTTGGAATTTACTATTTTCCCAATAGTGGCCAAAGGATCTCAGATACAGAACTGTTTTAGATAATCACAGAGAAGGGCTGAAAGAAATTGTGCTTCACTTAATGCATGCAATAGTTCTTCAAACTCACAAGTCATACTGTTTTCTAGCTACAGTGGCTCCCTTTATGTAGGTTAGGTGAGATTGGACCTAAGTGATTGCAGTTTTAGTGTTTTAGCTTTCAAAACTCCTAGAGTTACTTAAGCTTCCTTTCAAAATAGAAGCTTGAGAACCTTTTGTAGTCCAGAGAGGACTTCCCAGAAACAGTCATCCTTCATTTGCTTAGTAACCCTGTAGTACTAGGGACGTTTCAAAGGTCTAGAAATAGATAAAACTTACGAACATCACAGTGGAACTTCCTGTTATTAAAACACTCTGTATTAATATAAAAAAGACTCGTGCTAATTAAAGCATGAAATGTATTAATTTAGTTTTTATAGTTGTGGATTAATCCCTGGGTGTAATTAATTGCTTGCAGATGCTTGGTGCTCCTTTCAAGCAGTGTTCTCATTAGCTAGTCCTCAGTATTCCTGAGGGGAAGAAAGGGGACAGTCGTTTGATGTTTTCTTAATTGAAAGAAGCATTTAAAGACCAAGCTGATAAATCATTTGGTGAAAATTATTAAGGAAAAAAGTCAACATACTGTTGGAAAAAGAACTGGAAGTTCTCAGGAGTGAGATGACCCTTCACCTCTTTCTGTCTCCCAGTCCCTGCAAGCATCTGACTTACATAGTCATTCCTTTTAAGGGGAAAGGGAAGCAAACGTGTTTTTTTTTCCATTAAAAAAATAATTATTAAGGTCATGCATGCTTATTGTTAAAAAACAAAATCAAAAACAAAAAAGAGGCATCAAATGAAAATCAAAAGTCTTCTCACCCTCCATTTATTTCAAGTACAAAGGGTTTAGAAGTTTATCAATGATTAGTAAAGCACATTAATTAGAGATGTTTATATAATGATGTCCTGTCCTTTAGTTTCAGACGTGGCTTTTATTTAAACTTTCCCTCTTCATTACTATCTTTACTATTATTATTATTTTTAACCGGTCTCCAATTTGTTTCTTTTCTAGTTTATTCCCATGCCTGTACTCTATGGCGTGTTCCTGTATATGGGGGTCGCCTCCCTTAATGGTGTCCAGGTGAGTTTCCCTTGGCAACTTAAGTATAGTCATGTTTTCCTACTAATAGGCCAGTAACAGATCTTTGAAGGGAAGTGATCATTATTTGCTAAGTTTTTAAAGTGCATTTGTTTTCTACTTTCTCTACTATTCATCTACTTTGCATTTTCTGATTTAATTAACAAAGTTAGCGTGTGTTAACAAATGTTATCATACACACCCATTCTTAAAATAGGCTGTTAAAGGTCACGCAGCCAGGAAAGTAAGAAAGCTATAGCCAATCTTTCTCCTTTCCTTCCTTCCTCCCTTTCTCCCTTTCCTCATTCCTTATCTTCTTTCTTTTTGTCTCAAAAAGGAAATCAACCCTTTGAGTGTGCTCTTCAAGATACTAGTTGCCATTTGCCTTTTACACTATACTCAGAACAGGCTAATCTTTTGATGTGCTTTTCACATGACTGAGTTCAGTGATGAAAGGTTTTGAACCAATAAAAGAATAAAGTCAGTGTGGTTTATATGCTACTTTTGTTGAAATCTTCAGCTATTCACTACTGGTAAAATTGGCCCCCTTTTAAAAAAAAATCATTAGGGAAAACCTTGTAAGGGGCTTTGTCTTTCCATCGAGGTTTAATGTAATCGGCGCCAGGAAACTGGGGTGTGCTGCTCTCTGGTACCTTGTTCGCTGTAGGTTATGTAGCACTTCGTGAGGTTTTCAAGGGAGAAGATGGCATGTTCTGTGAACATCATCACAATTTATTTAAACTCCTTCATAATAGACCTTGCTTTCATTTATTGAATTTAGATTAATTTGGTTTTAGAGTCAGATGGAGCTGAGCAAATGGCCACACTCCCCCGAAGAGAAAAGGCTTCTTCATTTTTCCTTATTTAGGCCCACTGTGTAGAGTTCTTCACCATTTGGATATTTGTTCCAAAACACAAGGTTGTTCTTCAGAGATAGGACTAGATGAATATGAATGTGTGTTTATTTATTCCCATGAAGCTTTTGGGAAGATAAATATATAAAAAAATATTTTATTTGTACCTGGCATTGTAAATAATTTTTACTCTTCTGAGTGGAAAAACATGAAATTAATATGACCTCAAACTAAGAGTTCTTATATTTGTTTAGCTTTAAAAGGTCAATCTAGATGAGAAGTTTGATTTTATGCATTCTGGGTACTTAATTGATGGTTAGAGCTCAGAACATGTTTATTAAATAGAAGAAAAATGTATTTTATAATGATGAGGGGAAATCCTTTGCTGAAGCGAAAGAGTAGATTTTTAAAATTCTGTGGTGCTCTTGTCCCTATTGTCTTCTCTCTTGTCCTTCCTTTCCTCTTGATTCTTCCTCTTTTAGAACTTTTGGCAAGATTTGTTTTAGCAAGATGTTTTTGTAACCCGATTTTTATAAGCAAGGCCCCCACTAGTCTAGTGGTAGAAATAGCTCTAGTGGTAGAAAGAAAACACTTTCATGGGGAAATCACTTCGGAGATTATTGTCTGTGACAGGCTAGTTTCCTTTTACACCTTTCCCTTCCCTCCAGAAAGAAAGCAGGGGTAGTTTTTCAGCATTCTTGTTACATAATCATTCAATTCAGCAGTTATTTTCTGAGCATCTTCCATCTGAAAGATCCTGGGGTAGGTACTGAAATGTTGTCCTTGTCCTCATCATCAGTGTACACGCAGCAGTTACTCTGAGGCACAGCACCTGGTCATTTCGGTGCCTGTTGTCTGTGCCGGTGTGATCGCCTCTCCTGGGTTCACATACCTCATTGATGACACCCTGAAACTCACTGTAATTAATATTCACATGGCTTTTCTCTTTTTAAAAAATGGTAACGCATTGTCGAAAGTATTAGGTAAGTTATGCCATAGATAATGTGGAATTTATGAAAATACCTATGCATTCTCATTTTCAACTTGGATACGTCCTTTCTATCCTTGAACTGTCCCTGAAATGTGTGTGGCGCATGGCTGCATCTCCTCCTCTTTCAGATAAGACAAAGGTAGAATAAGACACATGAGTTGGGTGCCTTGCATCAGCGTATCATTATTAAAATAGTCACAAGATTCATTGTCCCAAGACTCAGATAGTATAAGTAGAAAGTAAGAGATGAACATCTAGAATTTATATTTTGCTTTGTGACTTTATTCTTGGTGGCCACTTTATATCATATGTCTGCATAACATTCCTGCAAAATAATAAAAATCAGAAGACTCATATCGTGTCTAACTGTGCTAGACTAAATGTTTACAGTCTGATTACGGTCCTCTGAAAAAGACACTGCTTGCCCAAATTTCAGTCCAAATTACAGTGTATAACTCACTAGTGGATAGTTAGGCGTGATGGAAAGGACGGTGTAGCCGCTGTTGAAGTAATCGGTTGTTCTCTCTTCCCATTCCTCCCCAGTTCATGGATCGTCTGAAGCTGCTTCTGATGCCTCTGAAGCATCAGCCTGACTTTATCTACCTGCGCCATGTCCCCCTGCGCAGAGTCCACCTGTTCACTTTCCTGCAGGTGTTGTGTCTAGCCCTGCTCTGGATCCTCAAGTCAACCGTGGCTGCTATCATTTTTCCAGTCATGGTAAGGATTTCTTTCATTGAACCTGCCCATGAGGTCATACCAATATCATGTGATTACTGTAATATGGGACACAGGTACCTTTCATGTGTGGTTCCAGTTTTTTCCAGCTTTGACCAAATCACTTTGCTCAGTTGTCATGTAAGGCCCCTGTGTCTTTGATTAGTAAAATGAGGATGGCATTGCTGTTGTTATTCTGAGCATCAGTAACGAGTATCAGATATATAGCACAATGCCTGGCACATAGCAGACCCCAGTACAGATTAGTTATTGTAAAATTACTCTGTACATAGAATCAATCTAACACATAGAGCACATTGCAGTCCAAATAACAGAGAACAAATTGGGCAACTTATGAGAGGTTATCCAGTGAATGAAAGGAAACGGGGTGAGAAGCTTAGTTTTTGAGGTTCTTGCTAGTTTGTATTATGCTGAGTTTAAGTATGGGCTCTATCCTTGCTGTGATATGATGAGAAGCAAGGTAAAGTAACTAATATTTCCTTCTCCCATAAATGAGAGAAGGAAAAAAGGAGATGCCAACTCTGTATTTGGTTCCATTACTGAATTTTATACTTCACCATAGCTTTCCATTTCTTGCAAGAAAATGCATGTGCCCATCCTTGAAACGAGTCACAAAGCCAGCCTCGGGCCCACTCTGTCACCCGAAGACTTTGGAAACCAAATTTTCCTATATAAGACATATTTCATTTTTAGTAAAAATTCTCTTAGCTAGGATTATTATTTCATTTTATGAGTGTTTGTTGTTTATAACTGTTTTTTTTTCTCCAGGGAAACAGGAAAAATGGTATAAAATACTAATGATACTTGTTGAGTCAGATTTTTTTAATAATCCCTTATATCTTTTTCCTTTCTTTTTCTTTTATTTATTTTTTAATTATTTCAATTATGATTTACACTTAATATTATTTTGTATTAGTTTCAGGTGTACTGCATACTGGTTAGACAATCACATACTTTACAAAGTGTTCCCCGATACTGCCAGTACCCACCTGGCACTATACGCAGTTATTACAATAGTATTGATATATTCCCTGTGCTGTACTTTACATTCCTGTGACTATTTCGTAACTGCCAATCTGTGCTTCTAGTCCCTTCACCTTTTCAGCCAGTCCCCACCACTCCCCCTTAAAGTCTGTTAACTTACTAGAAAACACACTGAGTGTTAGAAACGACTCTCATTTGCCTGTTGGTATAACCTACCTATCTACTGGTTTTGCTGAAGCTAGGAAAACAATTAAATTAGACCTGGATACATTTGAAATACTTCTAGCAAATCACTTACTGCTTGTGCTAAATAATAATAATAAAAAGTTTTACCTTTATAATGTTTTTTTTTTTATCTTTTGAGAGCTTTTCTTTGATCAATCATATAATTTTAGTAAGGCAGATTTATTAACTTCTCTAGGAAATGAAGAAACTGATATCCAGAGAGCTTATAGGTAAAGACAACTGTTTATTTGAAGCAGAGTCATGACTCTTGTATCCTAGTGCATACAGATTTTACTGTTGAGCCAGGGACCTCTTTTATGTCCCTTCAAGGTTAATCTTCAAGAGCTATTTATGGAATCAAAGATCCAGAGTTTAAGAATACTGATGTTAGAGGCAGATGGCTGGGACCCTCTGCCGTACCTTTTTCTGGCTTAGTGATCTTGGATGACACACTTCTGTCTCTCAGCCTCAGTTTCCTCAGCTGTGAGATGGAGATCATAGTATCTACTCTTTGGGTTTCTTGGGGGAATAAATAAGAAAATACTGCCTAACAGTTTTAGCACAGCATCTGAAACACAGTCCGCATTCAGTTATCGGTAGTTTTGAAGTCGCTCAGTAGATGAAATGGTCTATGCATATTCAGCTACTACCTCTTTGTTAATACTTGGAATATATTTCAGTGTACTGTATGTTGCACAGATTTTCTCGATTTTTCAAAAACATATATAATGTTTTAATTTTGAATAATTAGAAATTGGATGCAGGCTATTTTTTTCCTTTAACTTTTTAGTTATTGAAAAGCTGACATGGAAGAAAATCGTTTAAAAACGAATCCTTTCACACTGAAATTCGAAGTGAATTTGATTACACATTTCAGTGAACAAAAACAAAGTGAGTTTCCATTAAGACTTTTCTGAACGAAGTTTCTCCATGAAGAAAATGTGTATGGTCCACTTAATAGAAGTTCATATAAGCAAGATGAGTTCCCTGGCCTTATACAAAATAGGTTTCAGCTGCTTTTGACAGAGCCGGATTTCTCTCCTGGGGACTCCATCGGACATGTTTTCTTTCATGTTGTTTCAATGTTTCTTCTTGCAGATCTTGGCTCTTGTCGCTGTCAGAAAAGGCATGGACTACCTCTTCTCCCAGCATGACCTCAGCTTTCTCGACGATGTCATTCCAGAAAAGGACAAGAAAAAGAAGGAAGATGAGAAGAAAAAGAAAAAGAAGAAAGGGAGTCTGGACAGTGACAACGATGACGTAAGGAACTTTCCAAAATTCTGAAGTGAAGCGAAAGAAATAAATGTGAAAAATCAAATTTTTTTATTGATGTGAGGTGTATGGCTGAGGTCCAAGAATATTTACTTGTCTGTGTTACATGTTAGTCTTCACCTTCCTTTGCCTTTTATTTTCGCTCTTTGTTTGTTTGTTTTTTTTAAATATATTTTCTGTAGCCTTTCTTTAACCATTAATACACTAAAAATGATAAAATGGCTTCTAAAAACCAGACAAAGAAAAAGCCCACCATGTCTAAAGAACTCCAGTCTCATAGATTAAAAGAAAGTTTGATTAGTGATGCCATAAAATGTATTTGGTTTGCTATTGACAATCCAGGATTTAAATGTGAGATAACTCTGCTTTATGTAATGTTAAGCCTACTGTGGACAAATGTTGGTGCCCTCACGTCCTGTGATCTTTGTTTGAGTAGGCTCTCAACCAAAGTTCTCTGCTATTGCACTTTGCATTGGGCTTTGACATGATTTTGGATTATTTCTCTGTAACCCTTCAATAAAAAGGAAAGGGAATGGGACTTTAGGGTCTTTTTATATAATTGTCATAGACAGTCTCATAATCTAATGATCCTCCTTCAGTTGGGTGATAAAGTTAAAAAATAAAATAATTGCCCATTTTTTCTTTAGGAGACCATTTCACAGAAATATAGGTGCTCCCATAGGAGTCTATAATTAGTGCTAGGAGCAAAGGTGAGATATGTTTCACACACACACACACACACACACACACACACACACACACACACATACACAGTAGCCTTTTGAAAGGACTGCCAGATTGACATTTTCTATGTGAAGATTTATTCTGGATTCTTTTACACAGTGCAGTATCACCGTTCCAATGGGATCCCCAGTATCTAAAGTGGGAGTGTGGTTCATTTTTGGTGTGTACTCTATACTTGATCATTTTGATTGATCATGCATACTTGTCCATAATTGCCAAAGCAGCTCTTTATAGGATGTATTTTTGTTTTTACTTTACAGATGAGGAAATTTAGACTGAGAAATGTTAAGTCCTTTTTCTAAGTGTACACAACAACACAACACACCTCAGCTATTTGCTGGGAATCTGGCGTATGGAGAGCTTTCCAGTTGTTCTGATTTGTAGTGATTTCCATTGGTGCAGTTCTAGTTTTAACTGGCTCACTCCCATGACCTCAGAAGAGAGGAAAACGAATGTGAGGGAGAAAGATGGTATAGAATTTGAAAAGCTAGCAAAGTGGGAGTGATTGTATCTCTGGCTTCTCTCCTTAGTACAACGTAAATGATCATAGGACAAGTGTAATCGATACTGGGAGGTAGGGAGGGCTGTATAGTAACACCTTTCTTAAAACTTACAAATTTCTTTCACAGTCTGACTGCCCATTCTCAGAAAAAGTTCCAAGTATTAAAATTCCAATGGACATCATGGAACAGCAACCTTTCCTAAGTGATAGCAAACCTTCCGACAGTGAGTAGAACTAACCTCTTGCTTATCTGCTTTAATATGATTTGCACTTGCGGAGAAAAACCTTTAGAACGATCATTTACATTAACTTTCTTTCTTTTTTCTATATGAAGATTTACACTTAATTATTTAAAAAGCTTCATTTTTACATTCTCTGAGCTTACCCTTTCTTCCTTGTATCCATAACCTTTTAAGTTTTTGTTTGATAATCTTTCCTCTGATCCAAGTTATCACCAGTTTCTTTCAGTTGCTAAACTCATAACCATGTTTTTAATTGATTTTCCTTTTTCCTGCTGGTATTCAGAGTTGCGGCTTCTAGGACTACATCACTGTCTGTTACTGTTTGTCTTCCTTAGGCTTCAGCCAATGACCAAATCAGCTCAAAAGAGAAATTGCAACATGGTCTCTCAATGATCAATGAATCAATAATATTGAGAATTTGGAATAATTTATTATTTTAAATTTAATTGGCAATCATCAAATATTAATGGAACTTTTTAGGTATAGCTTATAAGATTTGTGCATTTCCTCCCTGATTTCTTCATTTCTTCCTTGCTATTTCAAAATCACCTTTGTAACGGCACTGTTTTTTTCTGAGGTAATAGCCTGATGGCTAAGGTGTAATGATTTCTGACATGTCACCTTTTCTTTTTTAATTAAAAGACCCCCTAAAAACCGGGGAGACCTCTGTAGTAACATTACTGAATATATCTCAGGCGTTTCCAATAGCAAATAGCAGTTGCCTCCAGACTACATTCACTTTGATGAGTTCTCATTTGAAATGTATTTTTTGTTGTTGTTAATCCTCACCTCGTTGACTTTTAGAGAGAGTGAAAGGGAAGGGGGAGTAGACAGAGAGAGAAACATTGATATGAGAGAGACACCTTGATCGGTTGCCTCCCGCATTAGTCCAGACCAGGACCAGGGATCAAAACTGCAACCCAGGTACATGCCCTTGATGAGGAGTCAAACCCTTGAACCCTTTGGTGTGCAAGCCAATGCTCTAACCACTGAACGACACTGGCGAGGGCAAGAAAATGTATTTTTTAAGATCCAGGTGCACTTCAAAGTCTCCTGATTTGCTACAGGAAAAAAGACAATTGAGACATTTTTAATTCTATTTGACAATGCTCCTTCAACTTCTTTTTTAAAAATTTATATTTTATTGATTTTGGAGAGAGACGAAAAGAGAAGGAGAGAGACAGAAACATGGATGAGAGAGAACATTGATTGGCTGCCTCCTGCATGTCCCTCACTGGGTATCAGGCCCACAACCTGGGTGTGTGCCCTGATCAGGAATCGAGCCGGTGACCTCCTGGTGCATGGGTTGATGCTCCACTACTGAGCCACACTGGCCGGGCTGCCCCTTCAACTTCAGTAACAGCTTACCAAGACAAGTTTGAAATGAATGACTATTTGTAAAAATAGGTATATCAGCTTTTTATGGCTATATAACAAATGACCACAAAATTTAGAAGGTGAAAACAACAAATGTGTTTTCTAATACAGTTCCTGACATTCTGAAATTTAGGAGCAGCTTATTTGGATGGTTCTGGGTCTGGGTATCTCATGAGATTGTAGACAAGCTCTTGGCTAGGGCTGAGCCTGAAGGCTTGACTGGAACTGGGATCTGCTTCCAGACTCACGCATGAGGCAGTTGGCAGGAGCTTCCGTTCCTTGGCCTGTGGTCATCTCCGTCAGGGCTGCCCACACATGGTATGGCTTCCCCCAGAGCCAGTGATAACAGAGTGTGGAAACAGGACAGAAACTGCAGTCTTTTATAACTGAACCTCAAAAGTGGTATATCATCCCTTCTGCTGTCGTCTATTGGTCACATAAAGCAACCCTGGTACAATGTGGGAAGAAGTTATACAAGAGTATGAATACCAGGGGGCAGGGAGCAGGGAGCATGGGGATGTCTTGGAATCTGGCCACCACACTAGGTTTAAAGAATTAAAACACTCTCACTTTTAGTGTCCAATCTATATGGATCCTATAATTTATAACTGAGGTTAATTTCTTCTCAATCCTATAAGTGGGATTTAGTTAATATTTCTTTTTTTAATTTAACCATTTTCCTTTTTTTAATGAAACCATATTCTGGCTTCATTTTTCATCTCTAGACCATTAACAGCAAACAAAGACCAAAAGAGAGCCCTGTGTGAATGTGGTCCTTTGACATCTTACGCCGGTAGAGCCCTTCCGAGTACAGGTTGGAAGTTGCTTTAGAAAAAGAAAAAATCACCAGTTAGAATTTGAGGCTCCTGGGAAAAGTTTATGGCAATTAGATTATTTCGTGCTAGTTTTCTTCATTCTCCCCAAAACCCTTGAAAAAGCATCCTTTGAAAGTTGACATTAGAAATTTACTTAAGCAAACCACCCATGATCATTCAAGCTGAAATCTTTCTAATGTTGTATTTATCTTTTATAATAGATGAAAAAACAAAATTGATAGATATAGTACAAATAAATTCCTCAAAATCTTTTTATTCCTCCATAAATAACAGGACAAAATTGCGAATGCTGAAGATGTAAGGAAATCCAAGGGCAAGTAAAGCATTAAGTAGATGATATCACTTTCTAAAAATGATTCACTTACCTCCTCACTGGAAAAAAAAAAATCAGTGGTTCTTCCCAGAAAACCCAGAGTAAAGGAAACTAATTGATTCTGGTTTCATCACACTGGTTAGATTCTTACCTTGATACAGTGTTTATTGAAATTGTCTAAACTTGTCTTTCTTATCTTCCCAATTGTGAAAGATGCATCAATTTCTATGGAGATTTTTATTTTCACTCTAGTTTTATATATTACCAAAAACTGCTCTTTATGATTAACAAAGATTTTATTCCCCCCAGGAGAAAGATCACCAACATTCCTTGAACGCCACACATCATGCTGATAAAATTCCTTTTCTTCAGTCACTGGGTATGCCAAGGTAAAGGAAGGCCCAGTGTTTTCCCGGTGTTCTGTGGGATGATTGCCCCACAGAAATGTAGTCATGGTGGGTTATTGGCAGAACACCTTGTTCTCCTTCTTTGCAATTTATTTTAAATAAATTACCCAATCAGCAAACCTTGCCCAAGTTTTCCCTGGTAGAAAGCCCTCTATGAGCTACTTACTCTTAGAAATACTGAAATCTTTCAGGATCATAAGATAAAGCCCAGGATCATGTTAGCGCTCATCATTTCTGTACCACCTCTGATTTAAGGGGTACCTGCATTTCCAGTCAGCTCTTCTCCAGGACTTTTCTTCTCTCTTAACACAACTCTGGAGATTTCAGATACTACTTGATTATCAAACATGGGAAGTCCCTGAATGTTGTCTTCATGCAAGTCTTTTTGTCCTTTAAGTTGACAGTATCACCCACCTGGCAGTTCACCTTCTTAGTGTGTGAGTGGTTTTTTTTTTTGTTTTTTTTTTAAATTTAGGTATGAGAACTTATGAATTTTTTACTTGAATATCTTGACTCTGTTGGTACCTCTATCCCCATTTAAAAATGTTTGTTTTTAATACGTAAAGAGGAGATAAATATTTAAAGAGAACAAAGAAGGATACATTTGGCTTCTCTACAATGCATAAACATTTGACAGGTGATAAAGGAAATCCGATTTACTTACTGTTTCTTTTCTTTTCTTTTTCTCTAGTCCTCCTAGAACTCCAGTACAAGTTGTGCCTCAAATTAGAATAGAACTTGAGCCTGAAGACAATGATGATTACTGGAGGAGCAAGGGAACAGAAACTACATTGTAACCTGTTTGTCTTTCCTCAAACTAACAGCTTTTTTTTGTCCATGGTCTTGTTTTGTATCTGGTTGTTTATTTTTTAACTCTTGTTTTGTTTTGGTTTTTGGTCATTGGCCAAACGATACAGTGCTTTCTCTGCGTCTCCCTTGCATAGGTAAAATTCAGACAACAGTGCACCATTCCTTACGAACAACATCTGAAAAATCCCCTTTTCATTATACTCTCAGATGTATCCTCTGACAGCCAAATTCCTCTGTCACATAAGACATGCACAGACCTGTCCTTTACCTTTATTAAGCAGAGGGCAAAAGTATTGAGGATTTTATAACACCTTTTATTCAAATATTGAAGGAACTTACCACTTTAGCTTTGGAGCTGTGCTTACTGGCTTGTCTGTCTGGTAGAACAAACCTTGACCTCCAGGCGGTTCTTCTTGCTTCTAGAGCTCTCTGATTTGCTCTTGCTTATAAACCCTAACCCTAGAATTATCGAAGGAAGCAAAACTAAAGGTACTTTACTCCCTGTAGAGAAAATATTGCCATCATTGTAGCAGGTGTTGGAATGTCCCTTTTTCCTATGCAACTTTTTTTAACCCTTTAATGAACTTATCTGTTGAGTACATTTGAAGACTATTTTTCTTCCTAGATTTTGTTGTTTAAATTATGGGGCCTAACCTGAAACTTATTTTTTGTCAATTTTTTAAACTTTTTTTTAATTACTGTAAAAAAAATGAATTTTTTCCTGCAGCAGGAAACATAGTTTTGAGTAGTTCTACCTCTTATTTGTAGCTGCCAGGCTTTCTGTAAAAATTGTATTGTATATAATGTGATTTTTACACATGTACACACACAAATACACAATCTTTAGGGTAAGCCAGAGGGCTAGATCAGAGGAAAAACACCATGTTTCTAAGCATCCATTTTTTTCCCTTTAAAAGAAATTTATCTGTTCTTTGAAGGAGACGGGGGGAGAAGGGAGAAGCTCCTATGTAATGGGAATAGCTGATGTTTTGATAATAGTAGTATCCAGGCACAGATACTAATTAAATTACCATGTCGATGTCCTATGCAGTATTGTTAAGTTGATTTTTTTTTGAAATATTTGTGTTTGTGTATATACTCTGTGTGTGGCTGGTGCACATATGTGCAAAGTTAGAGATATTAATGGTAGGTGAAGGGCAGAGTTACCCAGCCTCTGGTGTCAGTTTTTATAAAACCCAAACCACATATGAAAAATCCACCAGAGGTCCAAGGGACTTACCGTTATGTACATGAGGGTGAATATATTTTATTATCCAGATATCAGTAACCATCACTAAAACAATAGCCCATATTTACAATACAAAATCCATAGAAATATCAATAGACCATTTACACATCTATAAAGTGTTTATGGGACTACAAATAGATCTGCACAGGTATGTGTATACATTTTAATAAGACACGCATTTTTTAGGATGGAAAAGCAATTATACTTTGTGATTGGGAGGTTCAGAATATATATATTTATGCATACACACTTCAAGGTACCATACTGAAAATTAGAGAAAAGAAAATTAATTTTTATTAACTAAATTACCACGTTATTTAAATATAATGCTTTTAATAGGTTGGATTATGTATTATGAATCTGCATTAAAAACATTTGAATGTTGAATCCATAGTTGGGAGTCATCCAGTCATGTTTTGTGATCTGTCCTAATCAAAACAGATTGTTGGACAAGTACAGAAACAATGAAACCTCCTATTTTGGTTTCATAATGTATACATATTGACTCCTACTTATTCTTATATTAATTAAATTATAATTCTGTTCTTTTGAAATTCTGATTATAAAAAAATTGATTCCAAATTAGCTATTATTTTTATAGATTCTAATCTTAAAACTTTCAATTTTATACAAATTAGACATAAGCGACCTGCAATTTTTTCATTCAGATGAGTGGCAAATTACCTGTTATTTGTTAAAACCTCACATGCTAAGTTTTAGCATCATGTTTGTATTTACAGCTATTGGTGAAATGATGACTCTATATTATATAGACTTTTCATTACCCTAAGATAAAATAAGAAGCTTCCGGCCCCCCCTTTATTTTTAATGATGGAAGTACCAATGTTTAGAAACCATGCAAATATGTTCAGCCTAACTGAGGATCTTGTTAAATTAATGACATTTTTTTTTTTTTATCCTCACCCAAGGACATTTTTTTATATTTTGTTCAGATAGAGTGGGAGAGGGGGAGAGAGAGAGAGAGAGAAACATCAACCTGAAAGTGACACATCGAGTGGTTGCCAACCAGGGCTGGGGACAAACTGCAACCGAGGAATGTGCCCTTAGCGGGAACCGAACCCGGGTCTCTCCAGACCGCAGGCCGATGCTCTAACCGCCGAGCCAAACTGGCCAGGGAAAATTAATGACATTTTTGTTTATTTTTTCAAAATCTCTAGATATGATCATTTATTTTTCTGACCATGAATCAAGTATTTGTTGATTCATGCCCCACTTTGTCCCTTTCAAAAACCTCCTAAAACAAATTAACTCAGTATCTCAGCCTTTGAGTAGATCTAAAAGCTATCTGTCTTCTGTTTATGATCTATATTGAATGATAGGTTGATACTTATAATATGGATGCAGAATAGTACATTATGTTTGCTAAAAGGATCAATTAATATAAGATCTTTTCAATATTTTGGAACCCAGGGAAATATTTTAAAAATCATGACTTTCAGAGGAATAGAAGTTGTTAACAAACAAACCAAACCTGAGGTCCACACCGAGCCACCAGAGAATCTCGATTTTAACTGAATTTACTCATTACTTCAGAACTAACCAGATTGTGTGGTTTTGTTTCTATGCAAACTGGACACACAGAATACACTGGTAAAATTTAACAGAGTGTTTCTCTCTGATGTGAATACGGAGAAAAAAGATGTAGGTTGTTAAAAGTAAAGAACTAAGTGTATGCTCAGTGAACCAAAAGTGTATGGTTATAGAGACTCGTTGTTGGAAGGAAAAATCACGAGGCCAAGAGGCTGCCTTAAAGGAGCAAAAAGGTCTCTGGTTTTGCATTTGGAAGATAAAAGTCAGTCTTCTCAACTATGGAAAACTAGGCTTTGGAACTCGAATTATTTTGTGTGCATAGGCAGTGGTGTTCCTGGTTGTTCTTCCAGCCCAACTGTGGAGCAGGGGTCAGGGAAAGTAGAGGAAAAACCCTTCTCTAATCAGCCCCCAACCTCAAAGAATGGGGGAGGGAGAGTAATTGTCCGCCTTCAGTAATTCAGTTGTGTATATTTTATGCACATGCACCCACACACACAGAGTAAATCTTTTATCAGCTCTCTATTAGTGTTTAATACAGAGAACGATTGTCTTCCGAGTTTTGGTTCTTTTTTTTATTTTAACTGTGTTAAAGTACTTGAATTGCATTGACTGCTGACTGTCTTTAAGAAACAAAACAAAACTATTTTAGTTGTATTACAGAGGTTGACGTTGTTCAGGGATGGGACAAAGCTTTCTTCAATCCTTTTCATACCACTTAATGATTTCGGTGCAGGAACTTGAGATTTTCTTATTTATTTCATATTTCACATCTGCTCTTCACAGCATGAGCATGAAGCCCAGTGGCACCAAGTGGCTGAATACAACCAAACGCTGTTTTATGGCACTTGACCATCTGAGGGGCCTTAGAAGTTTTCAGATGATGGTTTCATTGAGCTTCATTGCAGCCTGAAATAAAGTTTTGTGATATATGCAAACATCAAGTTGTGTTTTGACCAGATATTTGGATATGTCCTAGTTTTGGCCCATTTTTTTTTGTGTTCTATGGGTACATAGAAAAATCCTGAATTCTACTTCCTAGGCAAATATTGCAACTCAGGGCTAATGTCATCCAGTGGAACTTTTAGAGCCAGAAGTAACTTTGTCCCATTCCTACAATGTGAAAAGAGTGAATAGTTGCCTCTTTTTAGCCATTTTCATGGCTGGTACATATTCGTACACATTACTTTTCAGAATCAATACGCACTTTCAGATATTCTTATTTTTATTCTCTTAAGTCTTTATTTACTTTGGAGAAATGATGCATCTTTTTATTTTAAATGAAGTAGATCAACATGGTGGAACAAAATGATAAAGAACAGAAAACATTTCAATATATTACTAATAATTTTTTCCAATATAAAACCTAAAATTCCTATAACATAGTATTTTACAGTTTTATGAAGCTTTCTATTGTGACTTTTATGGAATTAAGAGATGAAGAAGATGAGATATTTTAGCATTTATATTTTTCAAAATTAAATGTATACTTAAAATAAAGTAACTTTATGCATTTATGAGTGTCAAGTGCTTCTGTTCAGCTCTTCAGATAATTATTACGTGCCCATTATTTTGTTACAAGGGGACCTGGCCCTTAGTGGGTCTGCCTAGGGCTGGCCAGTAGTGTGTGGGTTCTTGAATTCTTACAGGAAAGATTTCACTGTTCGAGTTGGGGTGGTTTTTGGTGGATGTTTATTAAAGCCGGGCTCAGTGAAACAAGGAAGGGCTTAGGATAGTGGGAGCAACAGGAAAGCATCAGTGAAGTTGCCTTGGCTCTCTGGAAATGTTACAGGAAAGAAATGAGCCTAGGCAGGGCTGCTTTAGCCCCCTGGGAAGTCAGAGGAAAGGGGGCTTTGGAGACAGATTCAGGGGTTAGCCCTGGACAAAGCGTAGCTGCCCATTGCCCTGGTTGCAAGCCTTGGGGGGTCCCTTAGAATTTAGGAGATGCATGTCTGTGGGGAAGGAAGAGGGGAAGGGGAAAAGCATGGAGCATTCTGGGTCCTCCATCCTAAAAGAAATTGTTTTTTTAAAGATTTTTTTATTGATTTTTAGAGAGAGAGGAAGGGAGAGGGGGAGAGACAGAAACATCAAGGTGACAGTGAAACATCGATTGGTTGCATCCTGCATGCCCCTTACTGGGGATCAAGCCTGCAACCCTGGCAAGTGCCCTGATGGGAACTGAACTGGCAATCTTTCTGTGCACTGGACATGCCCAACCAACTGAGCCACACTGGCCAGGGCAAAGACTTTAAGAGTGGAGAGCTTCGGGGAGGTCCCAGGGGAGGATCTCAATAGAATGCTCATCAGCTTTCCTGGTGGGTCCCTTCCAGATCGTGGTCTCCACTGATTGGTCTTCGCCAGGGCAGGGCCTCATTAGTCTATGAAGCAAGTCCTGAGGTCACTGTGGCATCACTTGTCTGGTTTTGCTGCTTTTCTGGGTCTGGAGCTGAAAAACAACTGAGGCCTGGATGTTACCTCCAGGGAGGAAAGGTCAGGGAATCTAAACCACATGACCAACAGTATAAAATGTCATCCAGCTTTGCCCCTGCCAGGCACTTAGGGCCTTCCACCCTGGTGACTCTGTACCTGGCTGTTTTATAGCTAGCTATCTCAGTTTCCCTCTTCCACTCGCCAAGGACTTTTCCTAGCTTCTTACTAACCTGCCTCAATTTTACTCCTTTGGGTCTGTGGCGAATACGAAGATGAGTGTCAGAGTTCTTGACCCCAGATTGCTTTGAATCACTCCAGGCAGGAGGAGAAAATTGTTTTAAATGCCTCAAAGAATTGAGTTGTCAGCTAAATGATAGCATAGGTTGATCCATTTATCTAACTGCATTACCT